TCTCTACAATAAGCATCAAAGGGGCCAATGTATTCCCCTCCATTATCTGTCCGAATACACTTGAGCTTCTTTCCAGTCTGTCTCTCAACCGAGGCATGAAACTGCTTAAACACCTCAAATACTTGATCTTTAGATTTCAAGGTATAAACCCATACCTTTCTGGAGTGATCATCAATGAATGTGACAAAGTAGGAGCAACCACCAAGTGTCCTAGTCTTCATAGGACCACAAACATCAGAATGCACCAGATCAAGTATACTCTCCTTCCTAGAAGGAGGATGGCTCTTAAAGGAAACCCTGTTCTGTTTACCTGCCAGACAGTGAGAACACTTCTTTAGATGAATATCATGCACACCCGGTAACACATTTCTCTTCAACAAAAGAGACATCCCCTTTTCACTCATGTGACCAAGTCTCTTATGCCATAAATCAGTCATGTCAGTGTTCACCACAGCATTGACCCTATCCTTGAAGATCTTCGGATGTGTCATGTACAACTTTGAGCATCTTTTACCTCTAGCCACGATCAAAGAACCACGAGTGAGTTTCCATATTCCATTACCAAAGTTGTTGCTGTAACCATCATCATCAAGTAAGCCTGCGGAGATCAAATTAAGTCTCATATCTGGAACATGTTTTACATTATGTAAAACCAACTCTATCCCAGTGTCAAACTTCAAACAAATATCTCTGATGCCTGCAATATTTGATAGTCCATTATTACCCATCCTAACATTACCAAAGTTACCTGGAGTGTAAGATGAATAAAAATCCCTCTGTGATGTTACATGACAAGTAGCACCACTATCAACAACCCAACTGGAATCATCATGTGCAATGTTGACCATATCAAGATCAGAACAAATAAGGAACTCATCGGTAGCAATGTTAACTTCAGCATTGCCATTACCACCCTCATCTTTCTTATGGTTCTTTTGATTGTTGTAATCGCTCTTCTTCTTCTCCTTTTTCAATTGCCTGCAGAACCGTATTGTGTGGCCTTTTCTACCACAATGATAGCACTCAAAATCAGCAAACTTTCCTTTGGATTTACTTCGATGCTTCTCTTTGTTACCTGGACCTCTACTCTGACTTCTCCCCCTGCTTTCTGTAACTAAGACATCAGAATGTGAAGAGGAACCTTGTGACTTTCTTCTCATCTCTTCATTTAAAACACTGCCTTTAGCTAATTCCATGGTGATAATACCATCTGGTGCAGAGTTGGACAATGATGTCCTAAAAGTCTCCCATGAGTCCGGTAAAGTGCCAAGGAGCCACAAGCCTTGTATCTCATCTTCAAACTTGATACCCATTCCTGCAAGTTGATTTATGATTCCCTGAAAAGAATTCAAATGATCAGTGACAGGAGTTCCATCATGGTATTTCAAGCTCATCATCTGTTTTATTAAGAACAATTTATTGTTCCCGGTCTTTCGAGCATACAACTGTTCAAGCTTGTTCCACAAATTGCGAGCATGAGTTTCCCCGCTAATATGGTTCAAAACATTATCATCAACCCATTGGCGAATATACCCACAAACCTGTCTATGCAAAATATTCCACTCTGCATCTGTTTTACTCTCAGGTTTATCAGTAGTAAACACAGGCAAATAATAATCTTTCACATAAAGTAGGTCTTCCATTTTGCCTTTCCAAACATGATAATTAGAACCATTCAAATTGATCATCCTACTTGTGTTTGCTTCCATCATTCAAACAAGTCTAACCCAATACAGAAGAACCTGGCTCTGATACCAATTTGATGGGGAAAAACAGCCACAAACGGAACTAATAAAATGCGGAATTAATCTCCGTTTGGCTAAACTTTCCCCAACTTGAATGAATCTTTGAGGATGCAAACAAATAGGGTGTTCTTAATGCAATTAGAACACACACAAGTTGCTGCCACACACCAATATATTCAGCTAAAACAGTAAGCACACACCACACACAAACACCGGAATTTTAGCGTGGAAAACCCGTTAACTAGGGAAAAACCACGGGACCATTTTGGCCGCTTAAATCCACTATCATCATCAAAGGAGCAGTACAAAGTCTTCTCTAGATAATACTAGAGGCATACACATTCATCATATCCTTGGAAGTAAGCACATCAAGGTGTATGGAATCAAATAGAGCCAAGATAAGAAATATATCACCAGAAAAATAGCTACTGTCCAGAGCAACGAAACCCGACCTCCGGACCTCAAAACCCGATCTCCACCGTCCAGAATGTTGGCTCAGATGCTGTGAAGCTGCTGTCCAAAAATCACGACGATCCAACGGTTCAATCTCCGGGAAACGGAAGTTTTCTGCTGCTGCCTGCTGGAAAAACGGGATGAGCACACTCAGCTCATGTTTACCACTTATGCTCTCTTTTCTGCTGCTCTCTTTCTGTCCATCGAATGTATGTTAGTGGCTGACCCATATTTTTGATTATTAGCTCCCAAACACACAAAGTCAAAGAAGACTTTTAATGGGCTCAATACTTGGGCTTTCCTCATGGGTCAAAAACAAAGGAAAAACCCAACACCTTTGTCATTTTTTGAAAAGAAATCGCCCATATGACAATAACTCTTGTGTTGGTACACTAGAAAATGATATGTCAAAATTAATCTTTCATATTCATTATTCACTCCAAAGTTTGCAACGATTGGTAACACGTTATCATAAATAAGTTTGTTTAAAACTATTCCATAAGTCTTAAGTTCAGTGAAGTAATAGAAAAATGGTAACATTACTTTTATGACAAAGTAACATTTATGACTTATGAAATAGGACAAGAGCTAGAGCGCGGTGACCATATATAATCTCTATATTTGAATCCATATACTACGTATAATGAATGCATGCATGTTTTAATTTGTTGAACTACATGCAGGGGTGTCGTCTTTCAACATAGACTTTGTAGCGAAGAAGGTGACAGTGGTTGGCGATGTAACGCCATTAGGAGTTCTAGCAAGCATATCAAAGGTAAAGACTGCACAGCTCTGGCCGGCCGGGTAGCACCAACGCCCATCCCGCCCCCACTTTGCCTAAGCTAGCATGCATATATGCACCTCAGCTCCACTAAAGACTAGGCCTTCGTTATGATACAATCTTAGCTCGAGTACCTGCATCTAGTCTAGCTAGATATGTAAAGGTATATATATAAGTAACCTGTTTTATTTGGTTTGGTTTGATCGAGATTTTGAATTTATTGGTAGGTTGGTTTTAATTGCAAGCTAAGGTGAGGGTCAAACTCTTTCGAGTAATATTAACTACACACAAGGTATTTGTTTAAGAGTAGTATTTTATGGTCAAAGGACTGCATGCATTTTTATTGGGATGCTCCGTCTATCCCGTTTCGTGAAGTTGGTATAGGCATTTAGAAATTAAGGGTAGTAATGCAGCACATCAGTATTACTATGCCCGCTATATGATGGATGATTCTTTTACTATACAAAAATAGTAATATAACAGAAATATCTTCATACAATTGACTCAAACTACGGCGACTCACTTGAGTTCACAGATTAAGACTTCTCAAGCTATATATCTCCTATTTTAAGGAGGCTCTTAACACTTTAGTTTTGTCACTTGAAGAAGTGGTTTCTCTCTTGGTTTTGGGTTGTTATATATGGGGGTTCCTAACCCTATTTATACTGCTCCACTTCCATCGTGAATGATATATAGAGATTGGGTCTCTAGAATACTCTACCGTCTACATATCTCTAGACATTTGAGAAACCTCCACTCTTTCATATCCTTCCATACTCTTACACAAAATTGCAAAATGTTCCACACATCTTCATAATACTTGAAACATTCTACTCTTCCAAAAGTTTATAGAGTTCTACTTATCTGCAAGTTTATTTATAAAGAATTCAAAACATTTTACAAATTCTTTACTTAGAGAGATCTAAAATTTCTAGATCGAACCTCTTTATTTAAAGAGGGACTCTACTATTACTAAAATCTATAGATACAGCAAATCTAATGACACACCGGGTGTTCACTTTGCTATTAAGTACAGTACCAAGCAACGTTGTTAATATAAAGCAATTAATCAAATAAATCATAAAAGTATGAAGGTTTATTATAAAATATTACTAATAAAAGAGTCATGGGAAAAATGTGACAATTTTTAGTGACTATAAGGATGTTTTTACTTGGACTGTAATTTGTCCCAGACCAGACCAGTCCAGACCAGACCAAACCAGTTCAGACCAGACTAGACCAGACCAGACTTGGATAGTTATAAAAATACAAAGAAACCAGACCTTACCAGACCAGACCAGACTAGTTCAGATCAGACCAGACCAGATCAGACCAGACCAGACCAGACCAGCAAATTACAGTCCAAGTAAAAACATCCTAAGTCAACAAATATAGTGACTTGTGTTTCTTAGTAACTCAGAACACAATTAGTAAATATAGTGACTTCGCGTACGTGATCTTTAATTGTGGTGTCTATGTCACCATCAAAATAAAACACAAAAAGTTGCCGAAAAAAATAAAGAAACTACTACGTATTTATTAATCAATTTCTCGTGCTTATTAATTTCATGCAATGGTTGCACTCAATATAAATTTGTATTACTACATTTTCACTTGGATCGAAGTTTAAGGTCCACTTCGATTTGGTCTGAATTGACCTTGTTGGGTTTAATTTGGGTTTAACCGGCAGAGTATGATGTGTTTAAGTGACGACTGGTTTAAATTGATATGTTTACATGTGATTGATTCTGGATTTGGTTTAAATTGATGATATGTTTACATGTGATTGATTCTGGATTTGTTTGTTTTGATTTGCGTAGTCTGATTTCATTTGATCATTCGAAACTTTATTCTTGTCTAGTTTGATCTAAAATGATATTCCCTATCATTTAACACAAATCAGTCCAAATCAAAATATATTTAGATGTACCGAGAAGAATACAGTTACGGTACTCCTCGTGTGGCGGAAACGACACTCGAAGTGTGTCTAGTTAGATGGCACCACTTGCAATTATAGAATGACAAATTTTAGAAGCATATATTGAGATTTCTTCTAATGTTTTGGATATAAAATGGAGAGCTCGCTTTAATGTAATCGTGTAATTAATACTTTAATTAAGTTTCCATATTTATTAGGTTTTATTGTATTCAGGACGTTGTTATTATATATATGACACCTAGAGCTACTAGTCTGACAAGTCATTCCATTATTCACACATGGTATTAAGAACTCTAGGTTTTAGACAATACTAAAAAAAATCGATGGCCTCCTCGACTGGTTATGCCCCCGCCACCATGTCTTCCTCTACCGCCACCATGATGACCTCATCGGCGGTTGACACGACGGTTCTGAGCGCAGCCACGCAACCACCGCCTATCTCACCGCCGCCGCAGATGACCTCCGTCCCCCTCGACGTGTCAGACTCACCGCTGTCTTCCTCCTGGGTCCCACCAATTTTTACATGGACGCCAACGCCGCCGACAGTTCAGCCGCCGCCACTCTTCTTCGCTGACTCTCAGGCCGAGTCCAGCCCGACTGCTGCTGCCCGAGCGCGTTTTGCTGGACCTACCTTATCCGGAAACCCCGGTTTGGTTCTCCCGACATCGGCTGGCTCGATCGGACGTCGCCCGGTTGACACTCCTTTACCGGCTTTGTTTGCTTCGTTAGCCCAAGGTATGATTTTTGGTGCCTCTATTACCTAAATTGTGACCACAAAATTATTGGATGTTGAAGTTCACCTGTGGTGGCGAACTCAAGTCTGAGTCTTTTTTAGTTGATAATGATCTTTTGGGAATTCTTGATGGAACTCTTCTGGCTCCCACTCTATATACCTATGATTTATATCAGGCTCAGACAATTAATCCAGAATATTATCATTGGTTAATGTTGGATCAGACTGTTCGTGCTTGGTTGTTTGCTACTCTTTCCCGTGAAATTTTAATGGAAATGCATCAATTATTGAAAAATTCCACCGCCATCTGGCAGCGACTGGAGTCACCATTCATGGCCGTCAGTCTTACCCGATCCATGGAGTTAAAACAAATGTTGTCTCATACCAAGAAGAAGCCTAATTAGTCCATGGAAGATTATGTTCGCGACATCAGGACAATTACGGATTCTCTAGCTTCCATCAATCCCCCGGTTTCGGATTCTGACCTCTTGTAGCATACCCTTTACAGTTTGGGTCCAGGATATGAGTCACTGGTGAGACCTCTTACTCTCTTTCCTGAAGGGCTCACTTTTGACTCTTTATGCACAAAATTAGTCCATCAAGAGGTGTGCCTACACTACGAACAGTCCTTGGAATTCACGATTGGAGCTCCTGCTTTTGCGGCGTCATCCTCGACATGGAGGGTGTGGCGGTAGACGTGGAAATTGAGGCAAGGGTGGCCTAGGTCGCGGCCGACACCAACCGCAGCAGCCGCCGATCTTCGGTCAGCCCCCATAGCAGCAACCACATGGTTCTTCAGGTCGTGGAGCTCACCAGCATGCTAATTTGGGTACACCTGGTACAATTTTTGTAATTCAGTTGAGTCATCGTTTATTACTCCAGCCCTATCTACCTTTTGTAATAACTATGCATCTACAAGATTTCCATCATTTGAGAATAATTTTGGTTCAGTTCCCCCTCCTGTCGTCTGTTAAATATGTCACTCTCCAGGTCATTCCGCTGTTGCATGTCCTTCTCGTTTTGTTCAAGTCCAGGCTCCTGCATTGGCTGTCTCCACTGGTGAATACACTCGGACTATTTGGTATCCTGACTCCGGTGCTTCCGCTCATATGACTTCTAATCAAGGTATTTTGGACAATAAATGCATTTATTTTGAACCATTATTTGTTATGGTGTCATTCCATTATTCTCACATATTGGTGTGTCCATTTAAAAATGTTAAGTTTTACTCCTCCGTCCCGCTAAGATTGTCCCATTTTACCTTTTCGAGAAGTCCCACTAAGATTGTCACATACCATATTTGGTAAAGATTGTGTGGCTCTAAATCATTCTAACTTTATTCTTACTTTATCAATTTAATATCAACCACACAAACCTACTTTTCTTAATAATCGTGTTACTTTCTCTCGTCCCAATCTTAGTGGGAGGAAGGTAGTATATTAATATTTAGCCATTCTCATGCACTCATTCCATACTCTTGAAGCGATTTCGAGTGAATGGAGCAAATAGGTAGCCAGCTCCTATTGGGAAATGAAACATTAATTAGAGTGGTCAAAGTTTGAAAAGCTAGCGAATGAAACATAGAAAGAAAAAGAAACGGAACTTGACCGATCTTTTTTGTGATTGAGACATTATGTATGTGCTTTATATATGTATGGGTTCACTTTTACAAGGAAAAGGCCAATAATTTTGTTATCCTGCACTGCCTTTTCAACAATGGAAACTGACCAAAGCTCAAAACAAGAAAAAGAGGATCTGGGAAGGAGATCGAGTGGAGGGTGTGTCAATTGCCATTTTCATTTGTCGTTCCCTAAATGTATATCAATTTCTGAAACTATTTTACACATTTTTTACCTTAATTATGTTGGCCGAGGATGCTCTGGTTCCATTCTTATTAGTTCAAGTGTTCATATTTAAGAATTTCAGTATAATAGGGTTAGGTAGTTTCAACTTTGGGTCATGAATGTTTCTTGATTCTAGGTTTGCTAACCGTTCATTTGGAGAATTATAAACACCGATTTTTAACTTTTAAAAGAACCATATTGTTTTTACACTATTTCCAATTTCATATTAAAATTCCTGTTATCTTTTATATCATAAATACTACTATCTCCGTATCATTTTATGTGTCTCACTTTGATTTGACACAATTCTTAAGAAAGAGGTTGAAAAAGTAAAAGTTGTGGATGAGATTTGAGTATAATAAAGTGAAATGTTGTGTGTCACATATTTATTTTCAAAAGAGAAAATGAGAAACTTATTTGTGATAAACAAAAAAGAAAAGTAGGACACGGAGGGAGTAATTGTTTGAGTTATCGTCTAGAATTAGGACCATATCGAACCCGACAAGTCAATTTGTTTGTACTCATTTGAAATATAGTACTACAACTAGAGTTGTGCTAGGTGTACACATTTTTGTGTACACCTTTTGTACACTCGTCTCTCTCACGCACAAAATATTATATATCCACAGACAATTCTACAGAGTTGTCTGTGAATAGACAATTCTTTGTGTGTGACACAGACGTAGTACAAATGGGTTCAGGACAATCTGAGTCAAGGTTCAGGACTAGGATTTTGTCTAATCCTATAAACAAATGGGTTCGACGCATATTTTGTGACGCAGTGTCACCATTTTTTATCACTACGCCATGCTAATTTTTTCGTGACATTACAATTTTTGAAATTACTTTTGTCCTAAATTTCTCAAGAGTTCGTCAATTCGTGCCAAATGAAAATTTGTGCAAAAATCATTTTGCATCAAGAAACTTGGAACAAAATCATGACAAAAGTTTAGGTCAATAGGTGTCAAAACTCCTATCCCTGTCCACATTAAGTTTTGTGATTCAATATTACTTTTTATATGAAATTTTGCGATTAAATATTACTATGTACTTTTCCATAGTTTCTAAATACTCTTAAGTGTGTAAGTTTCAATTATATGTACTAATCTACATATTTTTAGGAAAGTTAACCATAGCAGGAAGGAGGACTTCATTTATGGAATGAGTGAAAAAATAATCATAAAGCAATTAGTATAATACGATGATAGTGTAACTCCCGATCCCGCAGGACTCGAGTTAGTTACTCCAGATCTCTCCGGACATCTAGTACTGTCCGGACAAACCACCACGAGCCTTTACCGTGCACTTTGTCCTTACTCATGTGCGCCCTGAGAAACTTCTCAGGGGGGTCACCCATACTAAGACTACTCCCGTGCAAGCACGCTTAACTTTGGAGTTCTTGGGTGATGAGCTCCCTTAAAAGGAGATGCACCTCTGTTGGTATGCGTAGTACTATTAATCCATTTATATTAAATCTCAAGTGTTACAATCACCCCCACTTAGGATCGCAATGTCCTCGTTGCGCCCTTAAACAAATCTGAATCAAACCCCAGAATCTTTTCCCCTGCTAGGTGTCTGCCCGATATCCAACAGATCAGCACACTGTCGCAGGGTTGCTCTGATACCATTTGTAACACCCCGGCCCTGTAGGACTCAAGGTAGTTACTCCAGACCTCTCCGGACCTCTAGTACTGTCCTCACAAACCATCACGAGCCTTTACCGCACACTTTGTCCTCACTCATGCGTGCCCTGAGAAACTTCCTAGGGGTCAAGACTACTCCCGTGCAAACACGCTTAACTTTAGAGTTCTTAGGTGATGAGCTTGCTTAAAAGGAGATGCACCTCTGTTGGTATGAATAGTACTATTAATGCGTTTTTATATGTAAATTTTGACGCAGTCAACTTCAAAAAATGATTTGAATGCCTTCCCGATCGAATTTTGAGCAGAAATTTGGTATGAATAAACTAGACTTGATGAAGAACATGTTCAAAAAAATTCATCAAACAATTCAATCGGGAAGTGCCCGAAACGCCCTCGGCCGGCCGGCGGTTCCCGTCAGGCCGGCTGGACAAGAACGGGACTATATATATATATATATATATATATATATATAGTCTTTATTATTGAATACTCTCTCTATATATATGTCATATACAGAAACGTGAAAGTTTAGTAGATATTTTATTTTAGCCTTTTAGGGAAGAAGGGAATATTAATTATCTTCGTCCCAAATTAATTTTCAAAATTGACTTTTCTTGGTCAAACAATATCATTGTATTTCTTCTAATTTGGGTTTTGTAACTTTGAAAAGATTTTAATGTAGTTTCTGAATATGTAAATTTTAATTATTAAAAATTGAATTAAGTATTTTTTTTTTGAAAACTTGAATTAAGTATCAATAGGGAGGATTTAACATTAATATTAGCCGATAAAAAATGGTGATGACTTTACAAATCAATTTGGGAGGGAATGAATGCATTGTATGTATAGCGCGCATTGCAACATTAATAAAGTGCATCAGCTTAATCATGAATGATGATCGCAAAGATATATATAAGGGGTGATGGAGTTGAATACGCATGTTGAAGTTAAGATGAAGCTTACGTATCTAATACGCAGAGATGGACTTGGTAATGAATAGAACGTGAATGGAATGTGGAGATATAATGTGACCGGCGCGCCTTAAATCTATCACTAAATAATTGGGTAGCTGGGTTGGAAGCATGTATAAGAAAGAGAAAAGAAAACGTCTGATTTGAAAATAGCTTAGCTAGTACTTCATTAATGTATGTATGTATGTATGTAAAGAAATTAAAGGGAAAAAGAAGTGAAGGGTATAGTAGGTAGCTAGCAGCCAAAAATAAAAGGTAGCAGCAGAGCGGACATACAGAGTTTCACGCACTATAAATAGACACCAGCCCACCTTATGTGTGTAAGTGTATATATGAATGAATTGTGTGTCCTAAATTAATTAATAAACTAATTGTAGCGCCGCAGCTTATTAATCAGTAATTAGGGTGTGGGTGTGTGTGTATATATAGACTACACAAAGTATGTACGTAGTGATGGAGTGGTAGCTCGATCTAGCTAGCTTTAAGCTTTTATTATATATAGATATATAATTAGGTAGCTAGTACGTACTAATTATATATCGATCGTGGAATAGAATGGAGTGGAGATTGCAGGAAGCGTTGGTGAGATGGAAGCCATACCTGGCTCTGGTGTTCATTCAGTTTGGGCTGGCGGGGATGGATGTCATCTCCAAAGTGGCCCTCAACCAAGGCATGAGCAACTACGTCTTTGTTGTCTACCGCCACGCTGTTGCCACCATCGTCATAGCTCCCTTTGCACTCATTCTCGACAAGTCAGTAACTCCCATCCCTAGCCTCTTTTCACTTGCTTTATCATTAATATATGTAATAATCAAGTAGTGTACGTTCAACTCCCCGCAGAAAACACAGGCCCAAAATGACGCTTCCCATTTTCGCCAAGCTTCTACTTCTTAGCCTTCTTGAGTAAGCTAGCATATGTTATACAGTATATTTTCCATTAAAAATCTTCTACTATACGCATCCCAATTCAAACGCTAGCTACTATTCCCTTATACATGCAGGCCTGTGATCGACCAGAATCTGTACTTCATAGGCATGAAATATACAACAGCAACTTTTGCGGCTTCTATGGCCAACATCCTGCCCGCCTTGACTTTCTTGATTGCATTGCTATTCAGGTTGGATGTGGATTAATTAAATGAGAAATAAGAATGAATTTAGAAATTATATATCTGAAACTAAAACAAATCTGTCCCTTCAGAGTTAATATTAAAAGCATTCACATCCCTTGGGAGGATCATGTTTGTAAAATTGATGGAATTAAGATTTGGGGCAGGCTAGAGAAGGTGAGATTGAAGAGTATCCGAAGCCAAGCGAAGATAATTGGAACGGTGGCAACGGTAGGTGGGGCCATGATGATGACACTGCTCAAAGGCCCAATGCTTGAGCTGTTTTGGACCAGGTCAACCGCTCACGGCCATCCCGCAACTGGGGCCATTGATCTCGCCCACTCTATCAAAGGAGCTCTCATGATCACCTTTGGATGCTTGAGCTGGGCCTTCTTCGTCATCCTACAAGTATACTACATTGCATTCTTTTCATTTTCCCATCACACTTTATTATAAAGTTTCAAACCGTTCTCAGATCAAGCTAGTGTTCAATCCATCTGCAACAAACATTTACCAAACCAAAATTTTAATCTAATTAAAAAACATTTGTCCACAGCTAGCTGATGTCTTGTGCTTGCATACAGGCAGTGACATTAAAAACATATCCCACAGAGCTTTCACTCACTGCATGGATATGCCTTCTGGGAACTGGTGAGGCAGCCATTTTGGCACTAGTCATGGAGAGGGGCAATCCTGCTGTTTGGTCCATCAACTGGGATACCAAATTTCTTGCTGCCCTTTACAGTGTAAGATCCATCATCACTTCCTTACTTTACCAAATAAATGTTTGTATTGAATTAATTCCACCACAGCTTAGTAGAAATTCAAATGTCTAATAGGGTGGAGTTGTGATTGTGATTCTGCAGGGAGTATTCTGTTCTGGGCTGGCTTATTACATCCAAGGAGTCGTCATGAAAGACAGAGGGCCCGTTTTTGTAACTGCCTTCAATCCATTAAGTATGGTCATTGTTGCCGTAATCAGCTCCATCATTTTACGAGAGCAGATGTACCTCGGAAGGTATCTATATTTTATTCTATCAAATCCAATACTAATCATAAGTACCTTCTCCTCCTCCTCCTCGTGTCATCGTAGCCCAATTAATGTGAGATTTTTGTAGGGTTGTGGGTGCCGCTGTCATTGTTATAGGGCTTTATATGGTCCTGTGGGGGAAGTGCAAGGATCAGAACTCAGCTGCATCTCATGTTGAAGCAGCAAAATCTCTACCAACCCTACAAATGAAAACAAGTGATGCAGCTGCAAACAGTAGTAGTGACAAGGAAAATCTTCCTCTTGATCAAATCCTCACCATCTATCCCTCTTCACAACATACCCACAAAACTCTAGGATAGAATCAGACTTAAGTTGTCATCTTCACATGAGTAAACCAATGTTCTCTTTAATTGTAGGAGAAGCTTCAAACAATTTTAAGGAATTTTGACATCTAATCTCGCACTTTCACTTCAAATAAATTGTGGGTTTTCTCACAGCTGGTTCAAATTTTCATGCTGCTTTTTGTTCATGTGCTTTTCTCTCCACCTTGGGGTTTCATAGTGTGTGATTGATTGTGGGATTGTTGTGTACCATTGCACTTGCTCACATGTGTTATGTCTTTATTGAAAACAAAAACACATCTAAGAGCCGTGAATTTGGTAGGTGTCTTTCAAAATTTTTCCTACCAAGTCTTAGAATTCAACAAATTCAAAACACTAGAGTCAAACAAAGCATAATGACAACTACCAAAAGGTTTAATAGATACCAGTTTACTCACTCGTTTGAGTGAAAGGTTCTACAACGGTTTCTACACAAGTGTGTGAACTGCACCTATAAAAGAGTAATCACAGAAGAGTGCAAGTGAGTAGAAGTTGTGCACAAAAAAGTCAAAGTAAAACTAGAAAGCACTTGTTTTACTTTGAAAGCAAAAACTTGTAGTGTCTAGCGATATAGTGAATATATCCACAAGCTTGTGCATTGTGTCCAATTGGAAAAGAGGTACATAGAAAGTGAAAAATCATTTTAGGAAAACTTTGTAAATCAAATTGGAATGGAGTACATATTCTGCTCCGATCGTCGACCAAACGACCTTCAAATTTCCTCAATCTTTAGTATGTTGTTCCAGCAAATGTTATCTTCATATCCAATGGTCGTATTATTGATTTGATAAATGGAAGTCTGTATGCCAATCCTAATAATAATAGAGGTTTTAAAAAAATATTGAAATAAAACTTATTTACAATAATAGGATTAAATATATAAAAAACAGTAATATGATTAAAATTAAAAAATATAAAATAAAACTTAAAAGGTGAATAAATCTTTAAAAATATATATAAAATAAAACTTTAAAATGCATTTGTCAAAGCAAAACTTCATAAATGAAACTGGTAAACTTTATAAATGCAAAACCGTAAATGAGATTGGTAAACCCTAGAAATGCCAACCCTAAACGCTAGAGGGTCAGTAAATCCCATAACACTAATGCTAAACCTTAAGGATATTGTGGGCCAATATGATTAGTCTTTCACTCTTTCCAACTTCCTACTTCCTAGAACCACATAAGTTCTACTTATGCAATAAAAATTAGGTAGTCCTATTTTTGAGGAAACAAAATCAAAGTTGTAATCCTGTAACCACTATGTCACAATGGTTACCAAAGGGTCTTTCACGGGCAGAAACAGAAATATGCATGAAAGACAGCAAAACTACAATTCTTATTTCCCATCTTGAGCAAAGAGAACTATCCACAAATTCGTGTCAAGTACAATGTATGTACAATGTAGGTTACAGACAGAGAGATCTTAATGAACAAAAGTTAACACCGGTGATCAAGTCATGAAACTTAAGGAGTGTTTGGGGTTGCTTAAAAAAAGCGCTTTTCAGCTTTTGGCGTAAAAAAGTTGAAAAGAGTGTTTTCAAATGACAGCTTCTGTTTAAATTAATCACTTAAAAGCTAAAAACTGGAAGCAGGAAGAAGGGTGCTTTAAACTGCTTCTCACTTTTTCTATTACACAAAAAGTACTTATTTTACCAAACACTACCAACTTTTACTTTTTCAGAATCACTTTTTCCTCAAACACTACCAGCTTTTACTATTAATCATTTTTCCCAAAATCACTTTAAAAAATCACTTTTTTTAAGTTGAAGCAATAACAAACACTCCCTTAGGCTTTGTTTGCAACCACTTCTGCTTAAATAAAAGCACTTTTGGGGAAAAAGTGATTAGTAGTAAAAGTTGGTAGTGTTTGGTAAAATAAGTGCTTTTTGTGTAATAGAAAAAGTAAAAAGTAGATTCTACACGGAAGCCAACAAAGTAAAAGTTGGTAGTGTTTGGTAAAATAAGTGCTTTTTTCTTAAAAAAAAGTTAAAAGCATTTTTTTTAATGGGTTGCAAACAGACCCTTATAAATCTCATCATGCATCACGATAGCGGTTGTTGGAACATATTGTTTTGTTGATGACAAACAACTAGTGTTACTTTTGGTCTATAAGTGATTACGGGAAAGGAAGATAAGTCATACTTTGGAACAAGCCGTAGACCTCAACCCAGAACTATCCTAGAGTCCAAAACGGTCGTATATATTTTATCGTTGACTAACCATGCAGGTAGACCAGCGGATAGAACTTCTCTCTGTTCTATCAGGAACGAAAATTAGAACTATACTTAGTTCTGTTCTGTGTGAATGATTGACGTGAATAATGAATAAATGAATAAACATGTTATTGCATGATAATGCCATATCTACGTACCTAGATATGTTATGCATGAAAGTGGGACAATTTAAATATCTTTTCATAAATGATTATGCCTTTATACTTTATAAAAGGTAATCATGAAAGTGGCACAATTCAAATATCTTTTCATAAATGATTGGACACCACTTAAGTAAGTTAACCTTAATTGTGCTCATACTTTATAGGAAGTAATATTGGCTTGCTAAATTAAGGATTGCATGACTCAAGATTTGGATGACCGTAGCTTGCTTATAATTGTCAAATAAATATTCCATTGCCTTGTGATTTGAAAAGTTATCCTTGATTTAAGATATTAAATCTCCTTTGGAAAGGATCTTGACTTGCTAGTAATATAAGGACAGTTGGCTTGAATTAATTTGCACCTGCTTAATTATCTTCCGTATATGGGTGCATGATTTATTTGGTCACTGGCTAATATATTTTCTTTATGTGATCACCAATTTGAAAAGGTCATACACTTTGTCAAGATTTATTATTTTAAGAAAGAATCTTCCATGCATTATTGGTCAATAAGGGTTAACGGTTCATTGCATATATGTTAAGTATATTCTTTGACTTGTTAGTTATTTGAAGGTACGTAAGTTTAATTCCATGAATGCATGATATACTCCTTTCATGTATGTGCATCCATTTATTACTATAATACACCTGCCTTTTTACTACGTGTACTTTGAGCAAGGATCGCCACATTAATGATAAAGAGATGAGATCTCCTCATAAAAGGAAGGCTTTTCAAATAACAACAAGGAAAGTTTCACACTTAATGACTTGACCATCCAAGGAAGAAAAGGGCAACGGTGCAGTGGTGAGCCGCTTATATATATCGAGATCAAAAGACAGAAGAGGGTGTGCTTGACCGAGATAGACATTGAGAGATATATTCATAAAAGAATTACTGAAGCTCAAGGCACCTGAAACTGCTCACTCGGAGTTCTAGATATAGTTTCTTCTTTCCCTTCTTCATATTGTAATGGGGTTTTGAGGATTGGCTAAGAGCAGCCTCCTCGGGTTGATTTGTGTGAGTGAGAGCTTTGTTGTAAAGCTGAGAGGCTCTCTACCCACAAGGTAGAGAAGTGTAACTCTTCCTAGAGAGGATAGAGTTGGGGTGGCTCAAGGGTAGACTAGGAGAGTTTCCCTTGTAATCATTCAAAGGCTTTTTAGTGAAGTTGTTAAAATTCCTCCGAGGGAGGTCGAGGTTTTTTAATCCCTTTGAGCCAAGGGATTTTTCCTCGTTAAATCCTTGTGCACTTTACTATTTCGTATATCCCTTTACCCCGCACTAGAACTGGGCGAAAAACTGCCACGGTTCCACACACACACACAATTCACCCCCCTCTTGTGTTGCTAACCGTTTTCATCAGCGGTACAGAGCGAATTTATCCTAAGGATGACTATGAGATTTCTTCCTATTGATCAACAAGTTGAGAAACAGCCAATAATATGTCATGAGACAACCAAAACAACATTAGGCCAGATATTTTAAAAAAATTTAGATTTGTGATCACAATACTGCAGGTGGGGGGTGGGGGGGGCAATGACTATCGAGATAACAACATACATTACCATTCCTCACACCAAATCAAAATCCGAGGTAATAAACCAACTCATATACCACACACCGCATATTTGTTCATCAAAATAAATAGAGGGAGGATATTCATATGGTATCCCTTGACAATCAATATTATCACCCAAATTTCTGTTAAACAAACCATAAAAACGTTTGGATCGAGTAAAGAAGACTCCAATAAGCTATCTCTCCCTTACAATGTCTTTCTAATGGATCAGCAACATCTAGTAAGCACGACTTTTTAAAACATCAATTCCCATTTCAGTTGGATCAGTTGCTTGAAGTTCCACCTGAATTCCGTCTAACTCCCTCTTGAACCTGTCTTTGGAGCTTGCATATATCATCTTGTTCCTAACCCTTGCTGTTTCAGGAGACCTTGGGCAAATAATAATAATAATGATGATGATGATGATGATAATGATAGCAATAATAATATCATGAAAGAAGACAGTTGTGGAAACAAAAAGAAAAAAGAAAAAATTACCCAACAAACATTTACCATGCTATGAAGAAAATCTTGCTTTTCTTACAACTCTCTTCTGTCACAAAATCAAAATCATACACCGCATATCGGCATTCATCAGCAGGGAGGCTGGCTGAGAAGTCATCATAGCTTTCGTTCGGCTCACCAAGCCTTTCAACAATGACCTGGGGCTTCTTCTCCTCATTCTTACTTTTTGTTGGCTCACCAACCTTTTCAACCATGGCCTCGGGCTCCTCCTCCTCACTCTTGCTTTTGCCACCAACTTTCTCAACACAGACCTGCTCATCATCCTTGCTTTTAGTTGCTGGCTCAACAGCCTTTTCAACAATGACCTCCCCGATCTTGAACACAATGAAACGGTAAGTTCTTTTTGCTTTTAACTCCAAGAACTTCAACTTGCAATCATCATGTACAGCTATCCCAGAGACTGCATTAGCCTGAAAAGTAATATTGAATTACCTAGAGCCCGTTCGTAAACTAAGTCTACACGGCTGAAATGACTAAATTCACCTAAATTTTTTCATGATAAACAGTGGATAAAATCAATTTCACTGAGAAGCGCTACTTGCTCTGCTGGTAAGTGGTAACCAGAACAAAGCTCGGTAAGGTAACAAAATAGAGCCTGATCCTAACACAATCAGAATGGGAAGAAAAACAAGCTCTCATACAATTGACATTTTTGAAGATTGATGAAGGTC